AAAAAAAAAATGCTCAAAAAAAAGTTATTTGATGGAATAGAAGACAGAAAAGATAAACAATTTTAACTTTTGATATATTTATGCTAAGTTTTGATAAGGCTTGTCTCTTCTTCTTCCTTTCCTTTTTTTTTTTTACTTTTGCTTTTACTTGAGCCAATCTGTTAGTTTTACACCGACAGAATGGTAGTCTCATTAAATATTTTGTTGACAACTTTAAAGAATGAAAAAACTTTGTTGAAATTCACAAACATCGATAAAAAGAAAAACTTGTACAGTTAGTTATTTTATCAGTCTAATCTACCAAAAATTCTCAACTGTCCTTTTGTTTTTTCCTTTAGAATTATTAAGCAACATTTTAAAGCAAAATACAGCATCTTTGGATAAATGCTAACTGTGGTATAACTGCTCCTTTAATGTGTTTATGGGAAGACAGTTGTAGATTCTTGAAACCAAAGTAAAAAAAGAAAAAAAAACAACAACTAATGTCGATGACAATAATGAGGGTAAAGAAAAAAGTGAAATAATTAAAAGTTTAAATTTAAAATACTATTGTTGTATCATTTTTTAAACTTTCCATTATCCTACCTCAAAAAAAAAGTTGACAACAAAACAGCTTCTCTGCAATTTCAACGTTTTATTTTGACCCACAATTAAATTTTTTTTTGGTAATTGATTTTCGGTTGCCATTAACGGTAACCAGCAGTGTAGAAATTACAAATCAGAAGCTAACCTAATAGTTTTTTTAGTCTGATCTAATGATCTGTTAACGGCAACAATTCATCGTCGATCGACAACAGTTTGTCACAGCGGGGGGTTTATTAGCTGTTCCCACGCACACAGACGACAGTCTTTTCGCTTCCATTCGCCACCTCCGCTCACCTCCCCGTCCCCTTCACCACTCTTGTTCTTTTCCCTGTCGCACTTCTCTGCCGCTCTTTCAACCACTTCAGCACAGCAACAATGTTTCGCGTTTCAGCGAACATTTGATGACGTCACAGTGAG